AAAGTCCCTTTTCCAACTAGTAATCTAGATGGCAACTAGTCGTGTATCGCCCGATTACAGACGAAATGTATCTAGATTTTTCCCATAGGTGATATTTGCTTGGGATGTACGTGCCGCAGTGCTGTAACCAGGGTTTTTTGTTCATTGGGCCAACCTCCGTTTGGTCGAAAAAACGAATGGACGCCAGAGGTAGATAGTGCGTTTAGTTGACTAAACCAAGTCAATATAACCTGCTATATTGATTTCATTTTACTTTGAATTCTTGAAAAGACCTGGTAAGCAGATGCTTTCTTCATATTGTGTCAAACGTATTTTGAAGAACTTGTATAACATTTTCGATTACGAGCGGTTTTGCTTAAACCGAGACCGGTGAATGCCTCTCTGGGACAGATACCTGGGCTACTGCACTTCGCTCCGATATGGAGAGCCAATTCATATTCAGTAGAGAGACTGCTATCGTCTGCCTTCTGAATCCATAATGCTGCATGAGCCGCTCAGTGAATAGATCTTTCTCGCTCCGCTCCTATAAACCATGGACACTATTTGCGTGAAAAAACCCTTTAAGCACAGGTACAGGACTGATATTTCCAAGTTACCAGAGCCGCGGTAAGGAGAGAATGGTTGAATCGGAGAAAATCTGAGCAGGTGTTGCCAGGTAATCGATCCTAGGAATGTTTTCTGGATACACTTAAACAATATTATAGTCTAAAGAGCTTGTAACAATTGAAAGAAACAACAATGAAACGCTGAATATACCATTCGATAGAGCTTGTCGAGTTCTGTCTGGCACAGTTGCCATTGAGATTTTTAGGTCAGAAGAGCAATTCTAGCATGCTGCTCATAAGAACAAAACTCATAAAATGCTTATAGCAATTGAACAGACTAATATACCTAAAAAGTGAATATACCATTCGAAAGCTTTCGACGAGTTTTATCTGTTACAATTGCTTTTAGAATTTGCACAGTTGGCCGTAAGAATATTAGGACAAAATAGTGGGCTAAAGGGTCATGAAACGCAGTAATTTGGCTCTTAGTGTTTCCTAGTGGATGTTTGCTGAATTCAAGAATGCCATTCGATAGTGCTCATCGAGTTCTACCTGGTACGTTCAGCAGCAAAATTGACAGCTGTTAATAAAAATATTAGGCGGCAGCATAGGAAGGTGCTGCTAACTTCTCTTACGTGTAAAAGTCTTTCTCCTAAAATTTAGCAGCAAAACATTGGTGTGAATATCCACTTCCCATACACACTTAGGCTTTTTGATTGAAAGGAAAACATCTATAGACAACTCACGAGGGACGGCCCCCGACTGTCAAATCGCTTTTGACTTAAAACTTAGTGGACAATGGGTAACCGAGCATGCTGATTTCGAATATGACGATGATTTTTGCCCATGCGTCTTTGGAGACCGCGGTTTTCGCAATGAAAAACGTTTTTGATCAAAATTTTTTTGATCCGTACAAATGAAAGCGCATGCTCTAAAACCTACGCAAAACTATTTTTTAAGGTTTTGGAAGCGTGCAAAACTAGAAGTTTGAACATAAAAAGCTGTTTTTCGGCTGCAGCATTAAGTTTTGATCCTTTAAAAGCTGTTCAAAACCGTTAAAAAACCTTAAAAAACAGTTTTGCGTAGGTTTTAGAGCATGCACTTTCATTTGTACGGATAAAAAAACATTTTTGATCAAAACAGTTTTTCATTGCGAAAACCCAGTTTTTCAAAAACCGGAGGCTCCAAAGACGCATTGGCAAAAACCATCGTCATATTCGAAATCAGCATGCTCGGTTACCCATTGTCCACTAAGTTTTACGTCAAAACCGATTGAACAGTCGGGGGCCTTACCTCGTCAGCTGTACGATTATCTAGAAAAGAAACGTTTTATAAATCTTCTTCTTTTATGTCAATAATAGTCCGTTTTCTGTTTTTATTTCTTATCACTCTTTTCCTCTCGTATTATCTATCTGTACGCGTAACTTGTGTCACATTTATGGCCTTTCTTTATCTTTGAAGCCTGTGCTCGTTGTTCTATCCTGTATTCTGACATTAAATTATTTTTCTGATTAGAGAACATGAGTATCGAGGTATACAGTGAATGTCGCATTAAATTCACTCCAGCAAATGGCCCAGACAAAGGCCATAATCATTTTGATCGGTGTCTCGTCGAATTGCGTCAATACGACATGGGTGATTATGCATTGAAAGTGATCGATTTGAAAAATCGGAAATCAGTAAGAGAAAACATCAATTGAGCAAATAATTTTTTCTCTCGTTGATTCAATAGGAAATTTTTCATTGTCCTCTTATTCGCCGTGATCAGTATATTTTTGCCTCATCGGTCGAACAACCCGACTCGATCAATGCAAACGGTGGAACGTATCAATTATGGTTAAATGACAAGTCTCGTGGTAGATTTCATGAAATACTACAAATATGTCTCAACGAGTTTATAACTTTGAAAGATAAGGATGCTTGTCCTGCGTTATCAAGACTTGATCAACAAAAGTCGAAAGCAGTTTTAGATGAACTAAGCAACCAAGTAAATAAACCCTACTATCAGAATATCGATGAATTTGAATGTATTACTTGTTATGAAAAAATTGCTCAAGGTGAAGGCATGTCATTTCGCGGTTGTCTTCATCCGTTATGCAAACAATGTCTATTGAAAATAATCGAAACTAGTACAGAACCATTACTCAAATGTCCACATGACGATTGTACGATGTTGATCGATGAAAGAGAACTTCGAGGTGTACGAGTTGTACAAAATCAGTAAACAATTTCTTTCGATTTTATCCGAGTATGAATTCTAGGTCGTCAGCGATATGAAAGGCGATCAAAAATTAGTCGATCGTCTCAATGACGTTAGCATGCGTTTGGCCGAGGGTCGTGGAAAGACATTTCACTGTCTTACACCAGATTGCAGCCACTGGTGGTTTATCGAACCGGAAGAAGACAGCAATATTATATACTGCAATGTAAATATTTACTCTGGTTACGTAGTTCGCATTCTATCTGTCATTATATAGTAAGCAATAGGACTCATACATTTCTTGTTATGGAGCAGGGAAAAAGTATAGTAACAGCAACTGATCATCTTTCTTTTGCGTCCTCGAGAGTAAATTCAAACAGAAACGGTTGATTTTCAAGAGAATATGTTTGTTCCTTTTCCTCACTCACAACAAATAAGAAATATCGATCATTTTCTTTTTGTAAACCATCGAGTTCTACTTTAAAAAACCATACTCGAGTACCAAGAGGAATGATTTATATTTCTCCACACAATAATGATTTCTTCGTGAGAGTCAGGAAATGAAACCAGCATTTCTCCTTGAAATATTCTGTAGAATGAAAAGAAAAATGATTGATTGGTGTTTCTCATTTAGATTGGAGAAACAGAAGACGGAGATTCTGTGAGAAACGCAGTGATCTTTTTAATGAAGCGTCATAAATGAGGATGGGTATCAAGTTCTTTGATCACCAAATTTTTCAGCATGCATTTCACATTTTTATTTCTCAACAAAGTACAATGTACAACACAAACATATTCATTGAGATTTTAACCAAACGAACAATATTTTACAGTTTTATTTATATCCATTTAAAAAATTTAAAGCTGTGCTGACTTTCTTGGGACGCCCTTTTGCTTTTCGTTTGCCTAATGGTTGAATACGTGTTTTATCGTTAACTTGATACAAGTTAAATAAAATTGCTAATCCAACAGAATGTTTACACGAACATATTAATAAAAGTACAACAGGCGAACAGAATTGTTGCCACACTAGAAAACTATTAAATATAACCCACCGACGAGAAGGATAAATACCTAGCCAATAATACATTCAATAGTTTTCTAGTGTGGCAACAATCCTGTTCGCCTGTTGTACTTTTATTAATATGTTCGTGTAAACATTCTGTTGG